CCGATGAAGCGTCGGTGTGTTTTCCTGCCTGGTTTTTAAACTCTGGTGTCTGTTGAGATGGATTGCCTCACTTCCGGGTTTCCTTCGTAGTGGAATGCATATGGGATCGAGTTCAATGTGTTTATTAATAGCATGCTTTGTGGAGTGCCATGCTTCCAGGAATTCTCATGCTTGTCTCTGCCTAGACTGTCCCAGGATCTTGGTGTTGTCCCAGTCGAAGTGGTGGTTCTCCTTGTCCATGTGGATTGAGATGAGTGAGTATTGGTCGTGTCTTTTTGTAGCCAGTTGGTGTTCATGTACTCTTGTTGTTAGTTTCCTTCCTGTTTGTCCGACGTAGTGTTTCTCGCAGTCTCTGCAGGGGATTTTGTAGATGACATTGGTCCTGTCCATGGCAGGGAGTGGGTCTTTAGTTCGGGTGAGCAGTTGTCGTAGGGTTGATGTGGGCTTGTGTGCCACTCTGATGCCCAGCGGTCGTAGGAGTCTTGTGGCGAGTTCTGACGTGTTCCTGATGTAGGGTAGTGTGATGAGTGTGTCGGGGCGTGTAGAATCTTTCTCCTGCTGTTCTTGTAGGCATCTTCTGACCCAGTTCTTTGGATATCCATTATCCTTGAACACTTGGAAGGGGTATTCTTCTTCCTCTTGGCATAGTTCCATGTTGCTGCAGTGTGTTGTTGCCCGTTTAAATAGTGTTCGCACGCAGCCTCATTTGTGTGTATTGGGATGATTACTGTTGAAGTTCAGTACCTGGTCTGCGTGTGGCTTTTCTGTATACTTTCGTTTGCAGTTCCCCATTGGTCTTGCGCTCTACCATGATGTCCAGGAATGGGAGCTGTTTGTTCTTCTCCTCCTCTCTGGTGAGTCTTATTCCGGTGAGGGCGTTGTTTATAAGTTTGTGCGTCTCTTCTAATTTGGTCCATTTAACAATGACAAAGGTGTTGTCTACATCGCATATCCACAGTTTAGGTTGGATTTGTGGAAGGGCGGTCCTTTCCAGTCTTTGCATCACTGCTTCTGCTATGAATCCGGAGATAGGTGATCCCATGGGTGTCCCATTGATTTGCACGTATGTTTGGCCGTTGAAGGTGAAGTGGGTGGTCAGGCATAGGTCCAATAGTATTAGCATGTTGTCCTTGGAGATGCTTTCACTGGGGTCGTGTTCTTGTTCGAGTAGTGTTGTCATTGTTTCCCTTGTTAGTGGTATGTCTATTGATGTGAATAGGGCAGTGACATCAAATGATATCATGGTCTCTTTTATCTTTATGTCTTTGATGGAGTTGAGGAATTCTTGGGCTGAGTGGATAGAGTGGGGTGACTTGTTGACTAGGCACCTGAGTCTTCTTTGTAGTTCTTTGGCTAATCTGTGCGATGGAGTGCCTGGGTCTAAGGGGGACTTCTGGCTGGTGCACTTTAGGGACGCCGTAGAATGGGGTGTGTTGGTTCCTTCAGGTTTCATTTTTAAGAAGTCTGTTTTGTTGATCTGTCCTGTTTGTTTAAGTCTTTGTAGTGTGTGGAGGATTTTGTTGCCTAATTGCGGTGTCGGGTCAGTTTGTACTGGTCGGTATGTGTTCTTGTCGGTGAGCAGTGCTTGTGCCTTGGAGATGTAGTCCCTTTTATTCATTATCACTGTCATGCGCCCTTTGTCTGCAGGTAGTATTGTGATGTTCTTGTCCTTCTTTAATCCGTCCAGGGCTTGTCTTTCCCGTGTGTTGAGGGTGTTGAGTTCACTCTTTCTGGTTTGTGTCGGGACTACTGTCTGTCTTAAGGTTTACTGTGTTTCTTCGTTGATATTGTTGGTCTTGAGTGTGGCTTCCAGAGTAGCTAGGAATTCTGTTTTGTTGGCGTCCCTGTAGTTGTAGTTCAGTCCTCAGGTGAGAACGGCTTTTTCCATGTCTGTCAGTTTCCTGTCGGAGAGATTTCTTATCCATGTGTCTGTTCTGTTCTTGTCGTTTTTGTGGGTAAGTGTGGCTAGCTTGTCCTGCAGGGTCTGTCTTTTCTTGGCTCTTGTGGTCTGTTGGCTGATGTTAATGGCTCGTTCCATGTCAGTTGTCCAGTCTTGATTGGTAGCTTCCTGGAATAACGTTTTTTGGCACGTAATTTCTCTGTTGTATTTCTCGGTTGTGTGCGTCGTTTATCATTACCCTTACCATCTTGTGGCCATTTTGTTCTGCTGTTTTCCGGGCTTGTGGGTTGTTGATGGGTGGTTTGTTCTTCACACTGCATGGTAATACCTGGTTCCTGAGTCATCCATGTAGGAAGTAGAGTTGTTCGCGGGTTGTGCTCTCTCATTTGGCGTAGTTTTCCCATTTTTCTTGCCAATTTGAGCGTGTTGCACCCATAGGTCTCTAAGGTTTTGGAGTAGACCTGTAGCTCAGGTTGTGGGTGTTGAGGTTGGTTGGCTCACCGAGCTGGTTTGTTGTTCTGCAGACGTTTCGTTACCATGCTTGGTAACATCCTCAGTGCAGCCTCCGATGAAGTGTTGGATAAGATGCTATAATATATAAGATGCAATAGTAACCATCCCAGCACACACAAATGAAGCTGTGTGTGAACACTGTTTAAAAGGGCAACAACACACTGCAGAAACATGGAACTATGGAAGAAGAATTCCTCTTCCAAGTGTTCAAGGATAATGGATATCCAAAGAACTGGGTCAGAAGATGCCTACAAGAACAGCAACAGAAAGATTCTACACGCCCCGACACACTCATCAAACTACCCTACATCAGGAACACGTCAGAACTCACCACAAGACTCCTACGACCGCTGGGCATCAGAGTGGCACACAAGCCCACATCAACCCTACGACAACTGCTCACCTGAATTAAAGACCCACTCCCCACCATGGACAGGACCAATGTCATCTACAAAATCCCCTGCAGAGACTGCGAGAAACACTACGTCGGACAAACAGGAAGGAAACTAACAACAAGAGTAAAACACCACCTGGCTACAAAAAGACACGACCAATACTCACTCATCTCAATCCACATGGACAAGGAGAACCACCACTTCGACTGGGACAGGCTAGGCAGAGACAAGCATGAGAATTCCTGGAAGCATGGCACTCCACGAAGCATGCTATTAATAAACACATTGAACTCAACCCCATATGCATTCCACTATGAAGGAAACCCTAAAGTGAGGCAATCCATCTCAATGGACCCCAGAGTTTAAAAACCAGGCAGGAAAACACACCGACGCTTCATCGGAGGCTGCACTGAGGATGTTACCCAGCATGGTAATGAAACGTCTGCAAAACAACAAACCAGCTTGGCGAGCCAACCAAACTCAACACCATTGCTCCTGCACATTTTCAGCTGATAGGAGGATGCTGATCATTGTCCCCAATTCAGTATCACATAAAATTCCAACACCTTGCTGTCCTACAAATAGGCAGCCCTATTTTGTTGGGAAGTTGCAAGCCATCATATACCTTCAAAGACACTGATTCATGCAGAAACACAGTCCTATTGGCATCGTGGCCTTTCAGTACCTTGCTGAAATGTACGTTCAGCACGATGGAAATCAACAGGACAAATGTCAGAATATTTCATTTTAAGGGTATCTCTCCAATCCTCTTTGAAAAAACACACAAGTGACAGTCTTCAGCACAGGATATTGATTATTGAATAGGAGTTGGAACTCTGACCATCTTTAGCACACTGCACACACAGGCTCATTGTAGGAATATAATTATTTCTGTTTTCTTGTCTGTTTGGTTTTATTTCACATCTGGGCAGATCCTCTCCCAACTAATGGAGTTCAAGTGAGACTGGTGAATATCAATTTTCATGTAGTGTTTCATAATTTGGAACTACTTGCATCTAAATATTATTATCGTCAGTGTTTGTACTGTTTACATATGTCTTGATATTCTTCCCCCGAAATGTAAATCAGAAGAGCCCAGCAAATGGATTTGAGCTAAACCAGTATCAATTTTAATGCTACTTCTGTAGGTTTCTTTTTAGTTGAACAACTGGGAAGAATTTCAAAAAACATAACTGTGTTATATTTTATTGAAATACAATTGTTTGAATGACACCAGGCTATACTAAAAAAAAGATAATTGATTATTTTGACAAGTTTACCTCCAAATTACTCAACCAAGATTTCTGTGGCATTTACTAGCATGTGTGATTAACCTTTTTCTTTAAAAAAAACCGTAGCATCAATTATTAACTGTTTTTTTAAAAATGAATTGGCTTGGAATATTGTATAGCTGCACTTTATTCATACATTACTTCATCAATTAAGTGCATCCTGGATTTGATAACTACACCAACCTATGTAAATCAATACGGACAGAGATTTTAAAAGGTTCATCGTTTCAAAAGACAAATTACTTGTTGAATAAAGTCAGGAAGCATCTTTAAGCCTTTGTTCCATTAGCTGTTATTCAGACAAAACAAAACTTTTACTGAAGAAAAGCTTTGCATTTATAATGTACCGTTGAGGACATTCCAAAGTGCATTGCAATCAATGAAGTACTGTTGTAAGGTAGGCAGCCAATTCTTGAACGAATAACTTATGGGTGATGCTTTTTGATTGGCAAAGGGCGGCCAGAACACTGGGAGAGCTCACTCCTCATCGAATAGGGCTGTGGGATTTACCCACCTGAGGGGCAGAGAGAACTAGGTTAAACATCTTATCCAAAAGACAGCACATCCTTAGTCCCATATGGTAGTCTAACTGGGATTGTGCGTTCAAATCTCCAGAGGGGGACTTAGAGATCAGACAATTGCCACCAAAGCACACGATGGTACCTATCTATTGTACAGTTAGGTAACATTAGTAATTACTAATCGTATATTGACCTCTGAATTATCTAAAAGTTACTGTATCTTTTCCTGAAAGTACAATTAATATATTTAAGAAACTGCACGCGCTAAATAAGATGCTGTGGAACATAACTGCAAAATGCGTACAACATCGTTAAACGTTCATGTCCGTGGGTTTATTTTAAGCCTCTTTAAAGGTGACACAGCAACAGCTCACTTTACCTTAGGGTTTCGAATGAGTTGTTGTTCGTCATAATGGAGCAGCGCTATGCTGTTAGTTTGGGAATTGTTTACGAAGATCTGGAGACAGGGATAGAGCGACGTGCCTTTGCAATCCGCCCCACATGTGAAAGTGCACTCAGACATCTCAGCGATTTGCCGCAGCGACAGCACCGTGCAGTTAGCAGCCTTACACCGCATGTTGTTCAGCGTGGGGTTTAACCAGCAAAAGCCAAGGATGAATAAGGAGACGATGCCGGAGACTATGAGGAAGAAGCCGAGCCTAATGCTTTTATCCTCGGCCTCGGAATACTTATAAGTGACCCTGAGCTTCGCCATCAGATGGCGACTCGCTCGCCCTGAGGAAGTTCTCAACACATCCACAATCTAGTGCAGGCTTTAGCCCTGGGCAACCGCTTCAAAAACTTTCCACAGTTCAGCCTCGATAACCGGCGGCTAAAACTCTTGAATAACTTCGTCGCTGTTGCAGAGGAAGCAGCCGCATTTTGTTCGCTTTCTTTTTGGGAATGTAAAAGCTGCGTGCGACTTTCACTCTCGCCCCGATGCCGCTCTGCAAAGCCTGTCAGTTACATCTGGATTAGGTAAGCTTCTTAGATAGAAATAGCTCACAGCTCTAAGCGGCTGCTGTTTACTAACTGCTCTGCTAAGGAGCATATCTGCCAGACTGAGCTGCCAGGCAGTGGGAGGGTCTCTGTGCTAATGATGCCCCTGAGGAACTGGCAGATGGCATTTCTGGATCCGCCTTTGGGTGACAGAGACTCCCCATTACAGAGTAGGACTGTAGTACAAAGCATTTCCCTGCGGACTCCAGCCTGGACGTGTTTTACTAACAGAAGCCGATGTCCCAATAGGACAGCATTTAAACCAGAAATAAGTTTCCGATTTATAGCATCCGCAGTTCTTTCGGTTTTCGTTCCGTATTTAATCCGTCCTTCCTATCAACCGTGGACTAAGTATTAAAGTTCTCTCACTGTCCGCAACAGAGCACGTTAGGTTCATTATATGATTGGGGAAGGCATGTCACAGTCACATAATAGAATTCTAAATAGAATCAGAACTTGCGCTAATGTAACTGATACATTGATCAGATGAAATATATAAACTTGTGAATAAGGATGCTATCGTGAGTTTCAAATATAAGAGTCTGAAAGAATCTTTCAGTTGCAGAAGTCATTCCGAGAGCTCCATCAATAACTTTCCGCTATATTTACCTGGCGCCCATCTCCTTTCCCGAGGTGATCCTGTAAAATGTAAAACCAGGGCAGCAGCACGTCGCGAAGAAGCGGCGGAGACACAGAGACACAGAGCAGTCCATTTCATGTCCACGATCTGTTTACTGAACCTGGCCCAGCAGAAAGCGGCTTTCCTTCCCTCAAACATTTTTTTTTCCGGCCTGTGTATAAATCACATCGTGACGCTAGGGCGCGTGGAATTATTTGCAGTTCCTCCAATTCCAATCTGGGCAGTCCGATAGCATCAAGGAGCGCCAGAAATCGCGGAGATTTGTAGCACAGTTTGCGCCCTGCAACAGCGGCAGTAGCGATGAATTTCCATTGTATAATACTGCCGCCAGGGCACAGCCTAACGCCCATGGTGTCTCCAACAAATCACCCTGCTGGGTTTTACGGAATTTACTCACTGAATGCTGCAAAATGTTTGCAAGGCTGAAGGACAGTGTGTTTTTACCTCCAGCTTCATTTGGAGAGGGGGAACGCTATTCCTCGTCTCGAACCCCTTCGTGGTCACAAAGCCACCCAAGAGCCCGCCTCCTGCTTGAGGCTAACGGGCTGCCACCGGCATTTCAGTCAACTTCATTCCCGCAACTACTATCACCCACCCCATCTCTCCCAGCGCCAGGGGCTGGGGAAAAGAGAGGGGTAGGGGAAGGGGTGAAAGAGATGGGGAGAGGGACTTGCAGAGATTTGGGGGGAGGTTGTGGTGGCTATTGAAGGCACGGCTGCCAAACGGCGGCGTGATTCAAACATGGAGATGGCTTAAGAGGCCAGAAACCTCTTGTAGGAGGTTACACTGTTGGACACGGCTCTCTTCTGGTGTCAACAACAGCATCGGGCTTAAA